TTAAAATTTAGCTTACAAAATGCTTACTTTCCTGCTTGTTAAAAGTGGCGGAGTGAAGCCGAGGTACTTTTATGTGTGCGTTCAGCCTGAGGATTCGTCTTCCCCCTTGAACCTGATGGCAGCGTCTGACTCTTTAATGATGTGTGTGCATGTGCTCTTTGTAGACACATCAGGTTACGGCCCAAGTCTGTACACAGTCTCTGGGGAAGGACTTGTGGAACATAATACTATAGCTGGAATGCAGTAGAAATATTATGGTGTTGTTTTTAATCTTGAGAGATTGGTGCTCCTTTGCCCAGTTTATGTTGGCACATTCTTGTTGAAACAGAACAGCAATTCCTTGGATTTTGTAGGTAAAAATGTCAGTTATGAATTACATGTTTAAATAGTGTCATTGATCAGCATGCTTATTAGCATGATAACATAATTAACCAGTAACTAGTAATTATGGAAAATATATGATCAAAATGGAAATTACCAGCCACCATTCACCTTTGTGTGTTTGTTTTTTTTGTTGTCATATGTGTGTTCCATTTAATTTTCTACTGCATTTTATGGTGTATGATATTTTGTTTTGGCTCTTATCTACAAAGAAAACAAAAATCTAAAAAAAAAAAAAAAAAAACCTACAAATAACCATTATCCAGATGACAAGCACAACATAGGTACACTGTGGGCTTTTTAGTTGCCTGGAATGTTCCATTGTACGGTATTCAAATTATCTTTCTCCATGGAGACAAGCAGATGACACCACCAGGCCAAGTATGGGTCAGATCTGGAGAGGCGACCCTGCTCACAGTAAGAATGTGTGGTTTTCAAGGTATTTTTCAGCACTAAAAACATAAATTTAATAAATGCATGGTACTGTAGAACGTTCTAGGCAAAGCAGTAACATTTCCATGGAGACAGGAGAAGGTGACCACCCCCTTTACCTTTTTTTTTTTTATTCAAGGACTGAACTCATTGTCTTATTTGGCCAATCTGTGGGGCAGCTCCTTGTGATTCATGCGATCAGCGGTGTTTGACCAAGGACTCTGCACGCAGTCTGAATTGATGAATCTCTGCTTTGGTTCCCCATCGGGCAGCGGCTTCTAAATGACCTCACCTCACTCCCCTAACAGCTGTAATGATCAAAGCAGAAGCATGTCTTTCCGCCCCACTCAGCAGAAATCACTGGAGTCCACAGTCCAGGCCACACAATTAATAAAGGCCCTTTGAAGTTCCCCTTTAATCGTACAGGACATTTCAGCAGGAGATTATAGTCTTAATTTACAAGGCATCCACACACCGGAACTAATCTACTACATATATTACAGATGCGCATGCATAGGCAAAGATATGTTGTTAGAGTTAGTTGAGCTATTTCACATTAGCTTGTCGTGAAGATGAGTCATTGTTGTTATGGGAACCACAAAATACTAGGAAGTGTTGTTGGCAATTAGCTGTTAAAGCTTATATTACGCAAATTTGACTCTTGTGAGCTTTAAGCTATGTTATAATGCTGTTACCTCATCAAAAACATACCCCAAGTTGTGTTTTGTTTCATTCACACAAGTTCCTTAGACTTTAGTGTGTCGACATCTCCAGAGCTCAAAGTTTTCAAGTAAAACAGCTCCTTTTACCTTTAGTTCAGTAGAGGTTGACACTTCCAGGACTGAAATTATCTAGATGATGCTACTGATGGTGTATGGAAATTAAAAACAGAGTGGAGCACTTCCTGCATTACCACACGACATCACCATGTGGAACATTGTGTTTTCCATTTATGTGTTAAACATATGTGAATGGAACAAAACACACCTCCATGTATGTTTTTGATGAGGAAACAACATTATAACATAGATCAAAATAGAGTAATATAGGCCCTTTATTGCCAACTTCAGCGAGTAGAATTGTGATCCTTATATTCTTTTACCACCTCTGTGAAAAATGCTTTTAGGACCACCACTCTCCTCTTTATCCTCTTATAATGGCACCATAAGGAATACCACATTGTTGCGTATTTTCAGAACACACTATTACAGGAAGTGAGTTGACATAACAAGAAATAGAAAATAAATGGAATTTCCACAGTGCTTTGTTAACATTCAGATAAGCAAGGTCTTGTCGGGCACAATCAATGAAACGAGCATTTACACATGGACTACAAAGAAATCTTAAAATTTCCATACTTATTAATATCTAAAACCTCCAACTTTTTGAGAAGAAACCCAAAAAAGATGAAAAAAAAGAAAAAAGAAAAAGAGTACCATATGTCCCCGATTTGCCACCAGCATCAAACGCATTTTAAAATGTTCTTATGCAAACACATTTCATATCTCAAAATGAAATCAAAAGCTTGCGGTTTCTTTCTACAAAGTTTAATTGCCTCCCCATCATCTAAAACTCAAATCTATCGGTGTAAACACAGAACTTCTATGCGTTGAAGTAGCGATGGCTATGTTTACCTGCATACTCAAAATTTGACCATTATCTGATTCCTGCAGTTAATCAGATTATTGAAATATATGTAAACAGTTACATCAGATGTGAGTCATTTAATTTCTTTCTGTAATGACAAACTAATAAAACAAATACAAAAAATAAAATAAAGATTTAAAGAGTTTTTTTTGTTGTTTTTTTTTTAATGAAAGTTGTGTGAGATCCAGGACAGTATTCATACTATACTCCATCCAATACAACTATGTAACTCAGCCTTATGTAACAGATAGCCCTATGTCCTGTCAATCATTATTTCATCTTAGCACTGTCTCTCCTTATGACCTCTTATATATAGCTGAGATATATTAGTATTACTATATGTCTATATTTTATTTTTATTCGTACATACACATTTATACAATTGCCTTATTGACACCAGACTTATACTTTTTCTCTTTGTTATTATACTGTGACGTGTGAGCTAATGTGTACAAATTTACCTTGTTGATCAAGTTTGTTTCAGTCTAAATCAGACTGCAAAATCTGAATTTATTGGGTTTTCTGATTATTAGTTATCCATTTTTACTGGCCATGTAAATGTACCCAATGAAAGTACAAAACCATACTACTACCACCAGGTGCTGCAACTACAGCAACAAATTCCAACCACCGTGGCACTAACATCTGCTTTATTAGACAATTCACATCAAAGATTCATATTATATTTGCATCAAAGCAATGAAACCTGTATTTTCCCCAAACAGGATGCATGAAATTATGGTCCTATCTATTAGCTGCACATCCACTGAACTCGAAACAACCAGCATAATCATAGTAAAAGGCGGGCCATATGATTATCTTTGTGAGTGTGTCAGTGGCTCTATGAATAGCAATGAGTCACCAAAGCCTTTGTGGGGACCAGACAAAAGTACAGCCTGGTAACTAAGTGCAGTGGACATAAACAGCCCAGGAAGTCCCAAGGTCCCTTTTACAACCCTAATGAATCTTTAAGCAGAAGATTTTTAATCACTTTTCAGCCAACAGTGCAGTGCAATGGAGAGAAGTGCCAGTAGTAACCTTGATTTGGAGAAAGTGATTTCTTTCGTGATCACCAGTTTGGTAGAAGAGTATGAGAAGATTTCAAAAGGCCTATATTATGCTATTTTCTGTTCTATAGTATAATGTTGTTTCAGCATCAAAAACAGAGCTGGAGTTGTGTTTGGTTCCATTCACACTTGTTCTACTGTGTTTTGATTCCATAAACCTTCACTAGAATCATTTGGATGATTTCAGCTCTGGAATTTCTGATCTTTACTGAACTAAAAGTAAAAAGGTAGCCGTTAACTTGAAAACTACTGCTTCATGACATGACAAAGTGGAACAGAGCATTTGAGCTTTGGAGATGTAGACATAAAGGGTTACTCAACCATGTGAATGAAGAAAACACAACTCCAGATATGTTTTTAACAGCGTTATAACAAGACTTAAAGCTCAGAGGAGTCAATTCTGTTGTTGTTATATTATAAAAATCATAAACTGTCATTTAATTGATGTCAAATTATGATACATATTTATCACAGGTACTATCCCACCAAACATGAAAAACATGAAAACCTCATGCTCTTCAAAGGCAAACATTCTGTCACAAAGATTCTTGAACTTTACACATCAAGTACCAATTCAGCAATATTCACTTTATATTATATTATATTTTTATTGATATTATCATATATTTTTAATTTTTTATGTGATGTGTGTATATTTTTAAACAGACTTGACAAGCAACAGTTCTAAAGCGGCATGAAACGAGAACTAAACTAGATAGACTAGAGTACTAAGAGAACCAAATAAAGCAAAGTCAAAGCAAAAACTAAAACAAGTCATAATAATTAAATCAGAAAAATTTATGAGCTTAAGAAGATGGAAAGATGGAAAATTAAGACTGTTGCCATGGTAGTTAACAACTAAAAAATACACATCACATCATTTGAACAGTTAAAATGGAAAATGGTGCCAATAACAGGAAGCTGAAAACCCATGGATACTTGGTCTAAACTGTTGCTTTAGTTTAAAATAAATTAAAAACTGCAAAAAATGCCACCAAGCCTGCACACCACTCACCTGACATATCTACCAGAAAACCATTGCTCCATAATGTGACTAAGTTAAACATACATATTGGCTTTGAATCTTAACTTTTTCTTAATTCTTCTTTGATTTTACTCCATCCATTCACACAGTTTTTCCAACAACACTTGAGCAGCAACACAGGTGGTCACACACACTCGTCCCAGCAGTCGCCATGACACAGCTCTGTTCCATTATCCCTCCACCCCCTCACTCCGTCTCTCCCACCACTTGTCCAGCTCAAAACAAAGCACAAAAACAACCCTTCTCGCAAGGCCAAGATTGCACATGTCAGTAGTGAAACTTCCCATAACCACATAACCAGCCTGTTCTCCACCGTGCCCTGTACCTCCTGGTAATAAGACAAAATAGCATCGGCACTTTGTATGAGAGACGAGGGCGGAGAGAGGAGAAGAATGGGAAGTATACATGCTCTGGGGGATAGCGCTTACCTTCCTGGACCGCCTGGAACGGGTTGTTAGGCTCGATAAGTTTCACAGAGTGGGTGATTTTCTCGCTCTGCAGAATGTCATCGTTCAGACTCAGGTCGGAGATTGCGAGCTGGAAAATCTCGTCATCTCGCACGGCGTTTTCCTCAAAGATGGCACCTGAAAAAATTGTAATGAAACACGAAACTCAGAACTTTCATAGACTGGAAAACCACCATGAATCGAACAAAATCAAAACTCAAGTCAAAGCACTCACGCCAATTAGAGCTAAAACCGTTTGGAAGTAGGAATATTTAAAATGGAAACTATTACAAACGTAACTTTAAGGCGCAATATAAAGGAGGTCTTCCCCTTGGCTGTCTTCATGGAGATGCATTTAGTGAATTACAAGTGTTTTTATTGCTAAAATACCTGGCAAAATATGCACTCTTACTGTGAACACGGATCTCCTCTCTGCAGATCTGACCTGTAACGTTGCCTGTCAGAGCCAACTCGCTACCCTCCCTGAAGATAGGCAAGTTTAATGTCAAACTATGAAATATTCCTGGTAAAGCAATAGCATCTCCGTGGAAATGCTAGAAGAGCATTTTTAAGTTGTGCCCATTCAAGTATACCTTAACAAAAACACCACATCTATTACGAGCATTATCCCTACAAACTATGAGCAACTAAACCACTATTTCAATCACTGAACTTCATTACTCAGATACTTTTGATAGTCACAACTTATGTGAATTTTTACCCTTAATAATACTAAAAGAAAGTATGCACCATTAACTAGGCTAAAAAAAGAATTATATTTTGTCAAGTATTTTATGTAAGCCTTTAGTTTATGCCAGCTCTCCTTTTCAGCACCATGGACAGCGACAGTGAACTGCACCATGAGCAGAGGTATTTCTCTCCATTGTAAAAGCTGTTGCATCATTTTCTTCTCCAAATGTAACAGAAAAAAACAACATACTCAGGCAATGTTTATGTTTGTCAAAATGTCAGACTTTACATGCCTAAATGCCTCAGAGTGTGTACATTTTACTTTGAAGAACAAGTTTGGAGAAGTGTACTATGAGTAATCATGTCTTTGTTATGAACCCAACATTGGAATGTGTGCTTTGTGGTCCCATTGAGAGTGGTCTTTTGTTTTTCCAAAACATTTTAAATGAGAAGATTCTGACTAATTACAAATGCCATCATGAGTCACTTTCTTCACTTCCAACAGTTGGCAAATGCATATTCATATTGTTATCCAAAAGTTGTGGAAGCTGTTTCAATAACTTTGCTGGTGAATACACTTTGTTGTCCTAATTAATCTGAAGCCTTATGCAGTATGTAGGTGGACATATTTTGTGAGCTTTTATGGACAAGCGTTTAGTCAAAATGAATCACAATCCTTCTTTATCTGCCTATTTCGAGATGGCAGTTCATCCTGTTCTGAATTACCTAGTGCACTGCCAATGCATATGTATGAAAGTGTGGATACATCTAATATTAAAGGAGATTCAGATATGACATTTGACACAAGTCCAAATGTAGATCTGATGAGGCGTATGAGTGTCACGTTTGTTCCAGCAGTGCAGGCCCTGCGTGGGAGGCATACTGAGCTCCTCTGTGTCTCCTCCATCCTCCCCCCTCTCTCCCTCCTCATTTTCTTTTAACATCGGGATGGCTTTTAGCTGCCACCTACTTCCTTTTCCTCTTTCATTACGACTAAAGCTTTGAGGACGCGAGAAGTACAATTATCCAATGCTAACGTTATGCGGCGCACGAGCCAATATGATCTGGATAGAGTCCCACCGCTGTATTAAAAGGCAGCAGTGACGGAGCACCTGCTGCTTGCCAGACTGTTGCGGTAAACTGTGAGCGCAGTGGCGATAGAGCTACAGAAAGATGACGGCCACAAGACGCACTGGGAGCAAATTTGCTCAGAGTCACACTGACGGTTTTATCTCCAGATTAAAACGAGAGTCGTCAGAGCCTTTCTCCCGATGTCACAGAGAGCACACAATCATGCGTGTGTGAAGGGTCAGCAGATCAATTAGAAACTGTCAAAATCTGTTGCTGGAAGCTGTAGATTAAACCCATTTGAATGAACGAAAGCACGTCGCGATTGGACAAGACTGATCGCGTTTGGGAAGTTTGCGCACAAAGGGGCTCTATGTGATTTGCGTCTGTAGGAGTCCACTGACATCCATCCTGTCTGCGCATTCACATGTCAGTCACGTAGCAGGTGAAAGTTGTGGCTTAAGACAAGAGCTAGATTTGGTTTGGGCAAGTGGCGTACGTTTAGACGAGAGCCTTTCATTCCGACAGAAATATGCGACGTGTGCACTGTAGAGGTTTGAATGAACGCCGGACCGAGAGGAAAGCACTGGCGCACATGCAATGCACATATTTTGCGGGTAAGGTCAGAAGCACAAACTTTAGAACTCTCAGGAGAGGAAAGTGTTGCTTTAGCGCAGAATCTAAAGCTGAATAGACTGTTTATACCGCCCTCTCCCCCCCAAAAGCCTGATCAAAGCAGTGGGCTCTATGCACTGGTAAAGGCTTTTTTAATGTCCACCTGGTAAGACAAACTGCATGCGTGACCGTTAGGGCTTACCAATGTGTATGATGGAGTCCGCTCTGGCAGAATTACACTGAAATATCCACAGGGAAAGGCAGATCAGCAGCAACTCCATGTCGGGATTTGAGCGAGGCAGCTCATCCAAGCTTCGCTCCCCTTCGCTTTGCTGTACAGTCCAAACGGAGCACCCGGAAAAAGAAGGAAAGGAAAAAAGATCAACAAACCAAGTCCGCGGTCCTCGTGAAGAACGCAGCAAGTGAAATGATCAGCAGAGAACGGAAAAAGCAGGCGAGGAAAAAAACTGACGGGGGACCCAAAAGGCAGGTAGCCCGTGGAGAGAGCGCGCCGTTGTGTCTCACTCTCGCCTCTCTCCCTGCGCCCCGGTGTCTAAAGCGTGGCGAGGAGCGAAGAATGCGGAGGAGGGACACCCCTTTCCAAGCGCATAAAATGCACACACACACACAGCATAGACAGGCACACACTGAGAGAGTAACGCGCTCCTCAGTTCTGGCTCTGACCACGTGACTGCAGACACTTCACGACTCCACCGTTGTCCCGACAAGCCGGCTACAAATGATTTGGACTGGAGCCGGGGAAAGACGCGCGAGCAACAACCACTGCTTCCACAGCTGGCACTACAGTAGAGAGAAGTGGACACCACAGTGGCTCTGCGCGCTTCGATGCACGAATAGACTTAAGGGGGAACTTTCCGGGAAGACGCACAAGCGAAGGCGCGCGCTTACTATTTTTCCCTTTCCTCCGAGCGGCAGAGGATGTGGCATGGATGGAGCCGGATTTACAGCGCGCATACCACACCTCTCCTCCGTGATAGATGAGGGACAGACGTGACAAAACGCGCGGACGAAGATGGACTACAAACCAATAGAGAAATCCGTGCGCCGAGCTCGGTATATTCCTGTATTGTGACTAATATTAAATGCTTGATTGATGTTGTTAATTGTGTTTTTATGGCGTGTTTTAGCGGCACTGTGCTTTACGAGGATTGATGCGGACTACGGGGTGCCAGTAACAGTGGGTGCCACGCGCCTGGAGGAGAGAACGACGCGGGGGAGCAGCAAAACGGAGGCAGCCATAACCTTACAATTAAAGGATATTTCTCGTGAGTGTCTACAGAAACGGAAATATCTCTTAATTGTTGGGCTACGGCTGCCAGGAGCGCGGGAGGGAAAGTTTCAGCACCAGCGCAGTTGACAGCGCCGCAGCAGAGCGACCTGTGGAGCTTCACTGAGGAAACATAGACTATAATGTGTTCATTCCAAAGACCGTATAATGCTTTGTCTCAAACTGTCTGGTCATTCCCCATCTTTATATTCGAGCTACATTTAGCTCTGCCAAATCTACTATCCATTAAATCATGACTACTTTGTACCTCATAAAAGTTGTCAAATCACACACTGCCCCCACTGGCCAATTGGTGGAACTACAGCTGTAGTCACGCCAAAAGAAACTGGGTGTACAGTGCAGTCTGCATTTCATCACATCTCTCAGGGCTCATCTCACCCCCTCACCACTTCACCACTCAAGGTCTCTGTTCTTAGAAAAAGATTGTAGTGAGTTGATTGTTAATCAACTGGAGTTACGAGTCAAGTCAATAATAGCTATGGCTTCTGAACATCATGAATCTATATTGCTTCTTGAGCTTAGATAAATCCTGGTATTTAGGTTATAATATGAAATGTCAAGAACAATTTCAGGGATTAATCAGAAATCCATAAAGTGCAATATTCTGAACTTCACTTCATCTAGCCTCTGTATAGCTCTACATTTATGCTTGATTGATGAATAAACCACTCTCCACATAAACACTTATTTTATCCTAGAAAATGAGTAGAATTGTAATAAAATCATTTGAGGGACAACATTTTTCACTTCCAAATCTATTCCAGTAAATTAACGAATTGGCCATTTTTGTTAGTTGCCATTCCTAATACAACACTCTACTGGCTTGGCAATGACACAAAACACTTGCTGTAATTCAAATACCTTCTTCTAACTATGAACATGAACATTTTTAATCTTACCTTACCCCTCTTATATGAAAAGAATCCATTTGAATCCTTTATGAAAGAGTGGATTGATCAGGACTGCTATGAAAACCCAAAGATTAACCTTGAGTCAGGGGATTTCATCTGACAGGCATCTAGAGGACCATCAAATATTTATTCCATGTCGGCAGCTAATCTCTTAATTTCATTGATCTCTGAGGCAACATGTAGCGCAGTTTTCACCACTCCTGTACTCCTCTTTCACACGCTGCAATGAGAGGCTTAAGTACTATGGTCTCTTGTGGGTTTTATGGATCTTTCTACTCAGACTTACAATATTTGCCAAGTCTTACCGTAACAGCTGCGGTTATTATTTTAAAGTGCATAACTATAATAAAAATGAATGTAGTAACACTAGAGATATCACAGAATATAGTCCAGCATTGTATAATTGTCTGAAATAGGGGCAAGAAAAATATCTATTCTTGGTGAAGGAGCGTTGCAGAAAATTGAATCATCATTAACATAATTAGAGAGGTTTGCTTCATTAGAAAACTGACAGTGATAATTACAGAGACTCAAATAAACCAGGTCAAAACAACTGCATTTTTAATAATTTTCATAAAAGAATGGAAAAGAAGAAACCAGCAACTACCTGACTACAGAATAAGTGCCATAGATTATTATAAACTTTCTTTCAAAATTATAAATTTATCCTATGTATACAAAAATATTAAAAAGCAGTGATATGTTGTTTTGTCTCTCTTTTTTTTAATAAGCGTGAAAACTGTGCACAAAATACCTAAAATTTTAATTCATTTTTGTCAAAGAATGGAAAAAAGAAACCAGCACTTACCCAACTATGAAATAAAAGCATTGATAATTATTAAAGGTGCACTGCGTAACTTTTCTGGTGGAGAGTCCACCACCTGCTTGTCTCCATGGAGATGTTATTGCTTTGTCTAGAATGTTCCACAGTATATAGAGATTAAACCATCTATCATGAGGGAGACAAGCAGGTAACATCACTACGCCATAATACAATTCAGATCTGTGGAGAGTAGCCCCATTCACATAAAGAATTATTGAAATTAAAGGTGCATTGTGTAACATTTCTGGTGGAAAGTCTGTCAAATGCTTATCTCTATGGAAATGTTATTACTTTGTCTGGAATGTTTCTTCAGTATTAAACCGTTCTATCTTCATGGAAACCAAATCAGACCAAGTTATAGGTCAGACCTATGGAGAGGCAAACCTGCTTACAGTCAGAATGCCTTTTTTTCTAGGTGTTTTTAAGCTACAAAACCACCTGTGATTTAATAAATAGGTGCTTAATGACATACTGTAGCATTCCAGGCAGAGCAATGACGTCTCCATAGAAACAAGCTGGTGATGGACCCTCCAGAAAAGTTACACAATGCTCCTTCAAGCAATAGAAACAAACGTGATGAATAAATGCAAAATGGGCTTGTTTAATGTCATACCATGGAACATTCCAGGGAAAGCAATAGCATCTCCATAGAGACAAGTAGGTAGAGGACTGTCCACCAGAAAAGTTGTGCAGTGCACCTTTAAAATTCCATTCAAAATTGTTAACTCATTCTATGTATACAAAAATATAACAAAAATGTATTAGTAAAAGTAGCACATAGATCAGGTTTTTTGTTTATTTTTGTCATACAAAGTAGAAAAAACATGGTGAAACTGTGCCCTGTGTATTTGCCTCAGGGCTTGGTTCTTGCAGGAGAGAAAGCCTGGCTGTGATGTGGCCTATAACATAGAGGAGAGTAGCTCCTATAGAGCCACACAGTGACATTCTCAGCTGGCTCTCTGCTGGGAGTATGGTTGACCACTGATGTATGAGGCACTTAAGTTTTCATCGTCCTCAACTTTTTTTTAAGTTTTTTTCAGAGGTGGGGTAAGAAGTTTATTAAAAATGATTCAGGCTTGGTTCAGGCACATCTCAATTAACAAGTTACTAAGTCTGAACCATTCTGAATAAACTATTTGCTCATTATTAAAGGTCCTATATTACGCAAAATTGACTCTTGTGAGCTATTAGCCGTTAGGACGCTGTTACCTCCTTAAAAACATATCTGGAGTTGTGTTTTGTTTCATTCACACATGTTTGTTTAATCCAGCATTATCAGTCTGTCCACATCTCCAAAGGTCAAAATACTCCATTCCACCTTGTGATGTCATGAACTAGTAGTAGAAGCAGTTGCTGGTTTACAGCTACCTTTACCTTTAGTTAGGTAGCGATTGGCAATTCCAAAGCTGGAAGTAACTAAATGATTGATGAGGAGTTTAAAAACACAATGGAGCACTTCATATTACCACATGAGACCATAAGGTGTAGGGAGTTTGAAGAATACAGCCTAAATATGCAGGTTTTGTGTGTTAAACATGTCTGAATGAAAAAAAAACACAACGTCAGGTATGTTTTTGATGAGAAAATAGAGTACAATGGGTCCTTTAAAGATAATTAAAATGTAGATACTGTAAAGTTGTACCAGTTTTTAGTTATACATTGATATTGATAACAAGCAATTTGAATAGGGCGTTCATGAAAAAGAGTCTAAAAAATAAAGATAAAAGATAAAGATTAAATCTGGTCCCATCTTTTATTACACACTACACAAGATGTATTGAAAGTCTAACCCTAACCATGCTATTTTCTTGTTAGAATCAACTGAATACATGGGACTCTTATCATTAACATGAGGAGTTCATTCATCAGTGGAGGTGAAGATACTGGAGTGATTGAGTTCAAGGAGGAAACAAGTCATTTACTCTGATCAGAAGGCCTTCAAAACATACACAGTGAGGTTCAAAAGAAAAGCCAGAGTAGTCTCCTCTATATATTCACAAAGCTTGAGAAAAAATTGACATGAATGAGTTTCCAAAAATGTTAAGCTCCAAGAAACGCTTTCTAGTCATTTCAGACAGAACAACATCAGAAAACATGTCAAACTGACGTAGTTCAAGAAAGTGCCTTGGTATAAAATGTCATCTTGTGAAATGGTTTTGGTAGGAACATGAGTCACAAGTATTACATTGCTATTTAGCTTTAACTACACACTCTAACACAAAACAGAACATAAGATTA